GACGATGGTCAGATCCATCCCAATAACTGAATGTGATCTCAATTTCTTCTTCCTTCAACGCGTTCTGCTTTCTAGCCCATTCTTGTCTCAATTCTTCCCTAAGTTTATTTTCCTCCTCGTCCCTTTCCCTACTGGCAAAAAACATGTATCTACATCTGGATTTTTCTAAATCTTCTTAATCGCAGGGCCATCAGATTGCACATTTTCTGACTGCGGGGATTTTTCGGCATTGTCTTCGTCAGAAGACATCTCAGCTTCATCTTCGTCTTCGTTCAGATTAAAAGACAAAGCTTGAATCTGTCTCTTCTGTTTGTTTTTTTCTGTCTGCTTCGCCGCTAGTGCTCTTTCCTTTTCTTGCTCTTTTTCACGTTCCTCCTATCAAAGCATAAAATACACGTACAAAAATACAAATTATGAGATAATCAGGATCATAAAAAGATTGTAAGAAATTACTTGTGGGTATCAGGATTCGTGAATGTTCGCTCAATTTAAGGGGATGCTAAAGCTAAGGCCGAACTTCCTCGACGTCGGTAATGTCAACTCTGTCAACTAAAGCAAAGGCCGAACTGATATTGGAGACCTCGCGTGGTGACAACGCGAAACTCCGGTTTCAGTGTTACCAACTTATTTCAGATTCTATGAAGTGGTGTATGTCCGTACACGTATGTACACACACCACTGAATTGCTCACACGGACGCACGGTAGAGAGACATATGCTATAGACGCGGCAACGCCGCGCGGCGTTGCCGCGTCTTGGATTCTTTAGCAATACGGCCTGAACCTGAAAATGCTTTCTGGCCGTCTGTAGCAGAAGGCAGTAACGTATCAAGGCTGATAAGCACCCGCTTTTTATAAATTATATATATTCTTATGCACACATGTGCGTATATATATATATATAATATGTATCTAATTATTATGTGTATGTTTATAATTGTCTGATGACAAATAATAACAGTAGCATAATTGAGAATGTGAATTAGTATACATAGTATGTATTGACGCGGGTACTTATTAGACTTGGCAATTTACTGCATCTCTTGCACCTCTAATAATTTTTTTCTTGTAATGTAAATGAATGATGTAAAACTCTTTCAAAGGATCTATCCATTCTTGATGGGGTAAAATAATAATTTTTATAACAAATGCAATAAATATTAAATTTATAGTATTGATTTATATATAACTAATTTTATTCTGTCTTTATATAGAAAAATATACCTCAGTCTTAGCATCAGAGTAGAGGGTAGCGGCAGCTGATGAACAGTATAGATAACAAAACTGAATAAAAATCTTAATTATTATAACATAATCCCAGTAAACCAGTTTGTAACTGTTATGTAACTTAGGGAGCACATGGAAAGAACAACTCTTCATTAGTACCTATACTTTACTTCTGTAAAAAAATTTTGCGATCTATAAAGCCGTTTCAAAGAACGAACTTTGACAGATATATGTCGTATAGATGCCTCGTTAGACAAGGACAGATATCTCTCGTATTATTCCTTTCTCTCCTATGTATGTAATTTGCATGCACCCATTTATTCCTCTTTCTCTCTCTCTCTCTCTCTCTCTCTCTCTCTCTCTCTCTCTCTCTCTCTCTCTGTCTTTCTCTCTCCATCCCTGTCCCTCTCTCTCTTAGTACACTGGGTAGCGTACACTTAGTATGGTAAAATCAGGATTTTTTCGAAGTGTGGTGTTAGGATTCTAGGGTATATTTGAAGAAAAAAAACGGTAATGTTATTTAGGACAAGAAACTCTATTTATTATTTCGTTGATAAAATGTTGGGAAATATAAACGAAAAAATACATATGTAAATGAAATATATTATATTATTTTTTTTATTGTTACTGTCGAAAGTAAATAATATTACATAAAACTAGTAATGCAATTCAACATAGATATACATACACACGCACACGCATACGCAATCGCACATACATATGCATACGCACATACATATTATTTTTATTATTTTTTCTGTGGGCCCCAGGCCCCGTCCACGATGACGATATCACGGACATGGGACGTCTCCAGGATCATGCTCCGATTACTTTGTACTAACAATAAGAATAATTCTGCATACTTTTTTTATTTTGTGCCTTTATATCATATGTATTTTTCAAGCATATAATAGCAACCTCGCAAAAAATGTCTTTTTTTATTTCAATTTCTGTTTCAAAAAGAATGTTTTTTTTTTATATATATTTGCTTGTCATAGTGATTGAGATACGCGAGAACGCGCATAACGTGCAGTTTACGCCGAAGTGGCTGTTCGCGAGCGATATGTTTCGTCGACGGATGATTAGCTAATTATGGATTGTATACAGAATACTGGATATTTGCGTAAAGTATCGTTGCCTCGCGAATAAAGTCGAAGGACCGTCGAGAAGAGGAAGCTCGCGGTGCTTTCATTTCCCTTCCGAGTGCGCTTCAATCTTTTATCCGTTTTCTATTCGCCCTCGTCTTCGTTTCCATTGCCAGTATGCGACAGCCGTTACTGCACTCCATGAAGGGTATCATTGCATGATTTGTCGAATAATACTTAAGCAAAAGAGATGTCTTTCCTTGTGCTTAGAAATCCAAAAAGATTATTTCGAGAATCATAAAGAAATTGTATTCTGTTACTGTCTAATCGTTTTTATACATTTATAAGTTTACAAGTATACATAGGACTTGAAAAGAAAGGAAAAAGGTAATCGTCGCGTTTTTTTTTCACAGAGACGGGCAAACGTGAAACTGTGTTATTCACGTTGCCCGACTAAATCAAACTCGGATGCTACAAGTATCTAGTGTTTATCCAGCGGGACTTTTAGGATGCCGCGAATGCTGATTTAAGAATAATTATGATTTATCTTACTTAGTGGAGTACGTACATCTTTTCGGAAACGAAGACGATGACGACGATGACGATCAAACGAACGCTTCCGTTCTTGTCCCAAAATTGTTTTCGTTTTCTCTTGTAGCGAACGTTTCGAGGAATTTGCTTACGACGGTTCGTTAGCATATGTCTCGCGGTAATTAACAATTACACGGAGCCGTCATGTTTTCCACAACGCGTAGGGAAAAAATTAAATGGTTTTTAATATGTATTCAGAGAATGTTGATTCATCATATTATTCTTTCAAACTTGCTTTCCTTCTTTTGAAAATTTACACCAAGAGAAACTTTTGTTACATGTTACTTTATATTGATTTTTTTTAACATCTCTATTTCTTAAAAAGGAAACGAAAACCGTAGAAGAAAATTATTAAACTTATCTTTATCGTGTTGGGAATTCATTCAATTTTATCGCTACGTGTCTCAACTTCTTTTGTTTAAAACAAACTAATTTATAGCTTTTGATTTTACATATAATTGCTAAATTTCAGTTTTGTCACATGCGATTTGTGCGAGCTTATTTCGTGGAGCAAATATTTTGTTGCGTTTTCGAGAAAGTGTTTATCCGATCATTAGCAAAGCGACGCGATGCATTTATATTCGATCACGAGGGACTATGCGCAAATTTTTGCATTGTTTGCGGATTTTATAACTCTATTGACGAATATAAGATCTAAAGATCTTTCGCATAATTGATTTACGATTAAACTCGCGCTTTATTGAGGCTCAGATGTACACCCGTCTGTATCACGTCAATAAAAATCTGACAGCAAAACGTGTATATAAATTCATTCGTTTAGCAAAGGATGCGCGTTGACCTTAGAAGCGCACGTTGGAATTTCATCCGGAGGGAAAAAAACTTTGTCGCGTTTTTTTAATATTTCTGATTCTCAAAATAAATTCTTCGTGTATATTTTTTTGTGCTCATAATATTATTTGATACGCGCCCCCATACGCGCCGCCGTACGCGCCGCCGTCGGCGTCAAAAAATGGCCTTATATATAACTCATATAGACTTATTATATGAACTATAATAAATAGAGTTTCTTGTCCTAAATTACATTACCGTTTTTCTTTCTTCAAATATACCCTAAAATCCTAACACCACTCTTCCAGAAAATCCTGATTTTACCATACTAAGAGTAGCTACCCAGTGTACTTGTAAGAGAAAGAGAGAGAGAGGGACAGGGATGAGAGAGAGGGAGAGAAAGAGAGAGAGAGGAATAAATGGGTGCATGCAAATTACATACATAAGAGAGAAAGGAATAATACGAGAGATATATGTCCTTGTCTAACGAGGCATATCTGTACGACATATCTCTCAAAGCTCGTTCTTTGAAACGGCTTCATAGATCGCAAAATCCTTTTACAGGAGTAAAGTTTAGGTACTAATAAAGGGTGGGATTGTAAAATAATTAGTAATAATTGAAAAAAATGTAAAAATGCCTAACGAGATATCTGTACCACATGGGCCCGCTTCTCTAACGAGAAACGTATGCGCAAACACTGCTCTAACAGAAAGGCTGCTGATTGGCTATCGCACAGTTTTTAGCCAATAAGCTTGCAGCTTTTCTGTTAGAGCAGAGTTTAGGCATACGTTTGTAGATAGAGAATCGGGCCCTTATCTGTCAAAGCTCGTTCTTTGAAACGGCTTCACAGATCGCAAAATCCTTTTACAGGAGTAAAGATTAGGTACTAATGAAGGGTGGGATTGTAAAATTATTAGTAATAATTGAAAAAAATGTAAAAATGTCTAACGCGATATCTGTACCACATATCTTTCAAAGCTCGTTCTTTGAAACGGCTTCATAGATCGCAAAATCCTTTTACAGGAGTAAAGTTTAGGTACTAATGAAGGGTGGGATTGTAAAATAATTAGTAATAATTGAAAAAAATGTAAA